CTTAACAAAGTCCTATTTTGAGTGATCTTGCCCAGATCAATGCAAACGACTTCTATGCCCAAAAGCACCATTTAAAAATCTCCATACGAGAAACTTGTGTTCTTTCTTAAATGAATACATGAATCCCCCATCGAAATTCAGAACAAAAATTTGAAAGAGAGACTTCTGCCCCCAACATATAGATTAGATCAAAGAGACTTATGCTCTTCCCATTCGGGAGCCACGGCTCCAGAACTTATCAATTTGCAGCGCGCCGGCGCCGCAGCCAGTCGAGCGAAATCATCGCGTGAGAGTGTCAGGCATCCATTGACAAATCTGCTCAGCGTCGGCCAGCAGCAAAGCTACCTCACAGAGGCGTAGTGCAACCTCGCAAAAGAAAGGCCTGGGAGCACAATTTAGCATTATCACTCCAAGCACAAGTGCAAGAAAGTTTCAAGAGACTCAGCAACCTGAAGACTCCCCGTCTGTATCTTACGTTGTGCATTCAAAGCACCGTGGAGCCCTCGTTGCAGATCAAAAGACAAGCGTGCCAAGCAATCGCTCCTTGACGTTCCATGCCGTCGTTTCAATTGCGCATCAACCTTCTCACAAAGACTGGACAGAAGAGTCATGCCTCCCTGCTCGATTCCCCCGAAGCTCTCAAACACAATAGGTTCGTTACCCAAATTAGTTGATACACAACGCTCCCCAATATCATTACGTCCACGTTTTCGTTCTGCGTAGCTCGTAGCCACACTCAGCGGCTCATTCGCTGCTTGCGCCAGTACTGACGGGAGCACCGGACATGTAACAGCAATATCGAGAGCAAGCCTAGGGAACTTCCTCCACGAGTTCGGTTTCATACTAGGGGACGCCATGAGCAAAGTGTCGGCAGGTCGGAGCTGCGGATCTTCAGCTATCAGTCCCGTGGGTTCCAAGACAGGTCTCAAGCCAGCCATTTCGGCGTATCTATGAATCGTATTACGGAGAGAATTATGAATCCCATATTTACTCCCTTGTCTCATACAACCCATAATGTGATGCCCAAGATGATCAAGAGATTGATGGCAATACATGCATCCCAAACCTTCCCCGAAAATAGGTACTCCCAATCGCACACTGACAACATCCGAAAATGCAATATCAGAGAATACCAAATCACGGGCGGGTGAAGGAGTGGCATAAAGCCATGCCCCTGCTCCAGGAGCGGCGACAGCTCGAAGCCACGCTTGGTGAGCCACACAACTCCCTTGGAGAAGATCTTGGTGGACGGTCTCGTACAGTTGTTGCAACTTGGCAGCTTGATCGATGGGCTGAGAAGGGCAATCTAGCTTGAAGCCATTGACTCGCCGACAAAGGTTGCCCTACAAGGTGTTCAAGCACCTCTGGTTGCAAACGGTGGTGCAATTCGAGGAGGCTAGAGATATATTCCCAAGGCGCGGCACGAGTCCAATATTGAATCCGTCCAAAAGAGAGAGATTGCTGGAGGATATGGAAAGCAACAAGTCTATGGGGCAATTGAGTAACAGCCTCAACCAATTCCTGAACCTCATTGGTTTTGGCAGCCATGAACGATTCCAAGAATACGTGGGAGCCCATGACGGGGGTCTTCAAGACAGCAAGGTCGTAACCAGTGACAACATTGACACCCAAACCCTGGAACTCTGAAACATCCCCACGAAACTGTTCACCAGCAAGGAGATGCAGAGTACACTTGGAATACTCAAATTCGAGTCCGTACTTAGAAGAGAGGGCGATTTCCTGCTTGAAAGCGGCCCAGACATCGGTCACATGTCCCCCAGAATAGGCGTCGTCAGCGAACTCAACTTCAAATTCGGGAGGGGGATGTTCAGTACGACTCCGTGCCTCTTCGTACATCCGGCGCCGAGTGAGGCAAAACATCGGACCCATCATGGGGCACCCTTGTTGACCCCTATGGCAAGCTTCAAGCCCCCCCCGAATAGACAAGATGACTACTGGCGCCGTATATATACTGAGCAAACCGCGAAGAAGCCGGAGCGTGGTCTCTGCAATCGCGTAAAAATTCAAGTGGGCGAACTTCATTAAACGCGTTACGAACGTCTTTTTGAAGTAAGACAGCATTAGGATTGCCCCTATTCTGTTGGGCCCAAGCTCGGGTAGCATGTACCATAATTTCCGCGCCACTTTTAATCAGGGCCAATTGCGTATCTCCCAACCGCTCCTGATACGAGATCTATCAAGCGAGAAAGTAGCCTTGAAGACAACTTTGCGCCAAGTGAGCCCAAGAACGATGGGTCTAGCATCGGCTTCAAGTGAGATTAAATTGCCACTTCCATCCTTCTTGCCAACCCCCACAAGTTTACCTCCCCCGAAGAATGGGCGGAGATGTTCGGGCGCCTGACCGCCGGCCAACAACTGCACCCAGAAATATCCATCTGAAGTTAGGTTCGACCAAGATATCCTTAAGTTCTAGTTTATTCGTGAAAAAATGCGTAAAAAAGACATCCCCTTCCAAATCTTGGTATGATCTTTTATAATATTTCGTAATCAAAATGTGTTGTAAATTTTTTAAACCCCAAAGATCCGTAATAGATCATTGAATCCATCAAGTCTAAACAGAGGTTTAGGATTTGGGAGGGACTTAGGGGGTCATTCCCCGCCCTAGCCCCTTAGGCGTACGAGTACCTGTGCCCCAAGCCTGGAAATTTCACCCCAGCGCCAAACCCAGGGCTTCGGAATAAGTAGGGTCATAAGAACCCGAATTAGTCTAAGGTTGCAGTATGTTTAGAGTTGCATTCCGCCCATGAACCTCCAAGCCCAGCGTAAACCATAGTCAACCTGAAGGTTCCATCACTTGGGTTAACACCGCATTCTGACGTCGTAATCAAGCTGGTTTTCGGCCACGACGTGCACCAGATAACGTCACCCTATCTGTTCGGTTCGACGATGGGAGGAAGCCAAGCCCCGAAAGCGTGAACTATCTGAGCCAACATCTCCTGAATTCGTACTTCAGGGCTTGGGGTCTACTACGCCTTAACATTTCAGCCCGACGACCTCAACTCCCAGAGAAAAGGCTCGAGTCCCCAGCTTTGGAATCAGAATTGCAGCTGGGACGTGACAGCTCTGTAGATGCGGGGGGTCCCGTTTTGGGTCCCCAATAAGCATGCTAGACCGCACGATGCCATCAGTTTGAGGCACCCTGCAGGTTTGAAAGGTTCGACGATGGGAGGAAGCCGAGCCCCGAAAGCGTGAATTATCTGAGCCAACATCTCCTGAATTCGTACTTCAGGGCTTGGGGTCTACTACGCCTTAACATTTCAGCCCGACGACCTCAACTCCCAGAGAAAAGGCTCGAGTCCCCAGCTTTGGAATCAGAATTGCAGCTGGGACGTGACAGCTCTGTAGATGCGGGGGGTCCCGTTTTGGGTCCCCAATAAGCATGCTAGACCGCACGATGCCATCAGTTTGAGGCACCCTGCAGGTTTGAAAGGTTCGACGATGGGAGGAAGCCTTGCGCAGGCACCGTGGGCCGTGGAACGTCTTGCGCTTGAATCCTTCCTGCGCCAGAGGCGGAAAAAAGAAAAAGATGGGGTGATGTTCTCAAGGGGGGGTTTCAAGGGCAAGCCAGGGCTCGGGACATATGTTGCAAACTGTTGAAGACTCCCCCCAACTCCTTCTGCCACTTCTCGCAAGCATGGCAGCAATATCCTCAAGCGGCGCAAGTGCATCCATCCGAGTGTGCTGACAGCTTTTGCAGCCGGCGCCTTGGAACTCATCCGTCTTTGGATGAGCCAAGTAGAAGCCTTTGTCGAAGATCCACATTCATGCAACCGAACTCCAAAACAATCTTTCTTGCAGTTGCGGCACAGTTGCGGCATCGCTGTGAATGTTAGTGGCCTATTGCGTGTCTTACTGACATCAGGCAGCGAACTGAGGCTGCTGACCTGCAAAGATTTTGGAATGCGAACTGGATCTGACTTCGAATTACTTTGAACCCTCCTGACCCCAGAAAACGGGTATTCATACAAGGTCCTTCCAACGTGCCTGCAGGATCTGGACGCCTATCCACGGCATCTCTTTGAACCCTTCTCGAAAGAGCCTGTCCCAGAACAACACGACCTCAGCAATGCATCCGTTGTAGGGCTTTCAGACGACAATGCGCCTTGCATATCGTTCGATCCGCGACTTCGCCATGTGGTGGGCAGTTTGGTTTCCATGTGATCAGGATGTAGGGGTCAGGGTGTAGTTTAGGCCTGCTTGGGGCTGTTCATTCAACGCTGAAGCTGGAAGCTTTAGGACGGAACCATGAGTACGCCTAGCGAGCCCCAGAACGTTTGGAAACGCGAACATGCGCGTGGCGTTGTGCAACAATCCTTGGGCCATGGGCTAGAAAGTAGTAAGGAAGCTACGCCGTCGCGACCACAGCCCGCAATCGATCGCGATGCCTGACTGCAGAACTCTCAAGCCCCAAACTTTCCTGAACCTCAAACCCTGAACCCCGGAAATCTGTTGCTGCAGGAAATCGTTGCAGCTTGACATCTTCTCCATGCCGCACTTAGGCTCCAACTGCCCGGCAGATGCTGTAGCCCTGGTACAAACTTTACCATAAAACCTGAAGCCAGTAAGCCCCGAAGCCCCCAAAGCTTGCCTACCACCCCGAAACCCATACAAACCCTTAACAGCCCTAACAGCCTTAACCACTCAGACCCTGAACCGAAGGCAACTCAGCACAACACGACACCGGCACAGGAAGACTGGGCTCCTGCTCGGCACGGCAACAGTCTCCCACAGTAGGAAACTAAACTGTGGGGATTAGGGCTTGCAAGGTCCAGCGTTTAAAGGGTACCAGGCTAGTCGAGAGGGTCTTAAAGGTTGAGGCTTCGGGATGCTCGAGATTTTGGGGGAGACGGTCTCCCCGAACTCTGCAAGCTAGCTGATAGGATTGCTGCGGAGAGCTTCTAAGGATGGAATGGGCTTTTGGAGGCGTCTATGCCTTAACCCCCACGCTGCCGTTCTGGGAGAGAAGGGTAAGAGCTTAGGGCTGCTAACATGGTTCAGCCCCAAAAAAACTGAAACTCCCGAGATCACCAAACTACAACCTTCGCCTTTCCTTCGCCTTTTTGGGCAGTCGACCCTCCCAAGTTCGGGGTTTTGGGGAGGGATGCTACGGCTGCGGGCCGACCTTGTCCTCTAAGCCCAGGCCTTCTTATAAAGAACCGGTCTCTGCTGGTGCTGCCTAGTTGCAAAGCTTCACTCGAATTCAACGGGTTTCAAATGCAAGGCTTGCCGGTGTGGATCTTTGCTGCACTTTGGATTCTGGTGGCATGGCCTCTGAAGCCCTTTCACCCCCCTTCCCCCCAGACCCCACAGCCTCCTAACGCGCTTGGCTGTCCACGCTTGGCTGTCCACGCATAAAGCAACAACCGACAAAACTGGACTGAGCTAACCCCACAGTGCCCAAACAACCCAAGGGTCAGACCGGGTCCCTCGGTCCTTGAGCTCACCCCTGCCGAGCTCCTGCACGCCCAGCAAGCGAGGGCCCGCAGGGCAGTCCTGACTCTTGTTGGGGGGAGGAGGAATGATGGGAGCCTGGAACCCCCAAAACCTCAGCTGCAAGCACTGAACCCGGAAACCTTGACGTCGAAACCTCCCCAAATCCCCAAGGCATAGGGGCACAGTTATCGAAGCCCACAAGCACAAACCCGAAAGCCCGAGCTCGAGCCGAAACCTCCAAATCTGTCAGTTCCATCCCCGAACCCCGTGCCCATTTCTCCCGCTATATGTTCAAGACTGCTAATGAGGGTCCTCACTGTGGCCATCTGAGCGGTCCATGGCTCAGGGTCGGAAGCGCCGTGATCGTGGCAGATAGCAACATAGCTTCGACATTCTGACCTGCCAGCACGTATGCGTTTTGCGGGAACAAGGCTGGTCACAAGGTATCTTTGTGACAGCAACAACAACTTGCAGTACCTGTAACTTCCGAACCCACAGGCTTTAACACAGATTCGGGCCAGAGGTTTTCGAAGAGCCAAGGCGTGTTAAGCTTGAAAAACAGATTCGCGCCAAACGGTTCGGAGAGCCACGGCGTGTTAAACTTGAAAGACAGATTCGGGCAAAAGGTTTTCGGGTAGCCAGAGCATGTTAAACCTTAGACCCTAAACCCTAAACCCTTGGCGAGCGCCCCAGGGTTTGTCGCATGTCCCCCTCCTTTCGTGCTTGCAGGTTTGGTGATGGCCCTAGAGGTTTGTTTGCGTGTCCCCTCCCTTTCGTGCTTGTGGGGAGGTTTGTCTCATAGGGCTTGGGACCCGTACGTGCTCGTAGGGCTTGGTGAGGGGCCTTCAGGTTTGTCGCATGTCCCGCTGTAGGGTCTGGTGACGGCCCTAGAGGTTTGTTTGCTTGTCCCCGCCCTTCGTGATGTTTGTCTTCTAGGGTTTGGTGAGGGCCCTACATGCTCGTAAGGTTCGCGCCGCTGCTTGTCTGCGAAAGGTTGCCTCATGTTTGTGGCCCTTGCGACCTGGCGCGAGCAATTTGGTCTAGAACCTTTTCGCGGAGAGAGCAGTGTTGGGGCCTGAAAAGAAAGGAATTCATGTACTTCACTGTCAAAAGTCCTCGGAGAATCTTTGACTTAGTATTGCACAAATGCGCGGCAACTTTAGAAGCGATCCTGCATCAATACGGGGTGTACCTTTGAACCAGCCTCGAGATTCTTCGCAGCCCAGGCTTCTATCATGAAGCATCAGCGCACATTAGGACGATTCAAAATTGATCCACAGCGAAGCCATCTCGTCAACACTCACCAATCACTGATTCAGAATGGAAAGTGAGGGAACCTTTTCGTCTGGTGTTTGTGCAGGCACCATCCGGCTGTCACAGGGCAAGCATTGCATGTTTAGAACGTGGAAGCCCGGCATTGGGCAGATGAAAGCCATCAGCACAGCACAGGCTGCCGCAAACTTGACTCACACGTCGTTTGGGTACAGAGCAAGTACAGAGCAAGCAGAGCACATCAACACATCAACGCATCAACTGGTAGCTGCATGAGATTGCCGCATTGCTCCAAATTTTGTCATGTCTGAGCTTCTCGGGCAGTCCATCGCCCAGTGTGTCGATGTGGCACCGAGAAAACGCCACATATGATTTTTGCCGAAGCTGTGAGACAGTGAAGTTTCATATCTTCAAGGCGGGCGGGCTTAGTCTTAGTGCTAAGGGTCGTCGCCATGCATGCTTCCCAACCCCCCTTCAGCCAAAAGCACTTATACCACTTCTAGGCCAGTTCCTATGCAACTGTGCTTCCCAAACCCCCTTTCGGCCAAAACCGTTTACACCGCTCCCTACACCAGTGTGTCTGGGGCCGTTTCTGGTTGTTGCTACGCATGCTTTCCAAACCCTCTTCAACCAAAACTATTTAGGCCACTTCCTACGCCCTTTCCTATGCAATCCTGTGTTTGTACGTGCTTTTGGGTTTTGGGGTTATTATCATGAGGCTGAAAGCCAACATGAGGTTTGGCCTGGAATTGACCTTGAGCTGTACCTCAGCTCCCAGCCCCCACGAGCGTCCGAAGCCATAGGTCTTCTTCTACGGTTCGTACAAGAACTGGGATTTGAAGTCCAGTTCGGGGTCCTGTGATAAACAAAACAATACAGTTCATGCACAGCGCAGAGTATTCAGTAATTGACATTCCTTCATGATCCTCTGAGTGGCCTAAACCCTTGCTGCGTTGCCCGCTCCATGGGCGTAGCCCTTACAACAAGTCACTCTGTACATCTCTATGTCCCCAAACCAATCAAAAACATTGTTGCTTCACTCAGGGCCCTTGCGATTAATCAAACTGCTGCGTGCATCTTTTGTGGAAATCTGCGATCTGTATCTGCCAGCCTCTTGCTGGAAAGCATCTTCAAGCTTCATATCACTGAGGCGCGAGGCCCCCCAGACACTGTCTTCGAACACATATCGCTGAGACTACATAAAGCCCCCGCGAGACCGTCTTCAAGCTCATATCGCTGAGACTCTGCGGCAATAATACAGAACAGTCTTTGACCATAAATTCAGAGCTTTAGAAGCCTTCTGTTCATGACATTCACAGTCGCCAATGCGCCGCAAACCGTCTGCAAAGCCGTAGCCGGTGAGGCCACAATCTGCCAGCGGCCGTTGGATCGAATCTGGCCTCCGTCGAAACTCCTCAGGGCGGGTAGGTTGAACGTTTGGGCGGGTGCAAGAATTCCTGGGAGCCGAAATCTGGCGCATCCCGAGCTTCACAACAAACCTACTGGACAAGTCCATCCAGCTTGTTGCTTCACTCAGGGCCCTTGCGATTAATCAAACTGCTGCGTGCATCTTTTGTGGAAATCTGCGATCTGTATCTGCCAGCCTCTTGCTGGAAAGCATCTTCAAGCTTCATATCACTGAGGCGCGAGGCCCCCCAGACACTGTCTTCGAACACATATCGCTGAGACTACATAAAGCCCCCCTTCGTCAGAAAAGGTGTAGGATCAGCCCCCTTCAGCCCAATCTACCAACTTGACTTAGGAGGGCGTTTGCGTCCCATCTTTCGAGTTTCATCCCCCACTTGGCCTATGAACTTCGGAGCCTGCTCATGAATGCCGTAAGTGGCCCTCAGGCCATTGAAGATCTCCATGTCGATGTCTTCCAACTTCACCCCCACCCGGTTCTTCAAGTCGAACTTTTCAAACTTCGAGTTCGTGAGGTCGTCGGCCTCGACATTCTCCCCCCGTGGGCGCCAGCGTGCCTCCAACCACAGCCCCGCATCCCACAGATTTGTGTTCATCTGGGCCAAAAGGAGCCCGAGGGGCATCTTAGTAGAGAGCCTACGGCGACTAAGATGTTCAGCAGCCAGGTTGTCCGTTCCACTTGCAATCAAAGCCGCTCCCGGCTTCTGCAACTGCCCCCCGCCCTTTTTGAGGTACCCAAAAACATGGAGTCCGACATAGATTGCGAAGATCTCCGCCGTTGTGCTCATTCGTTGTGCTGAGAGGGATCTTTCAAACAGCCAGGGAGCTTGCTCGGGTGTTAACTGTAGCGCAAACCAACGTGCCTGCTTTGCGCTGCCGTCCTGAGTTGCCCATCCGCCCACGGCCACCAGACCTTCGGCGCACTTTGCATCTGTCCGGAAGACCTCTTCTCGGCCAACCTGAGGCGAATCACAGCACACTCGAAACAAACCCTTCTCGAATCTCTGCTGTATGAGTTGGAGCGTGTAGCCCACGAGTTCCGGCACTCTTGACACTGTTCCACCCTTGAATTTCGAGCCCCAGGCATACAGCGGCGCCAGCAAAGGCCTGATCCAGGGCACTGCTTGGGAGGCGAATCCCAATCTTCCCACTAGCTCACCAAAGGCGTAGCCTGTGATCACGTACTTGTTCTCCACCAAGCCTCGCAGTACCTGCATCACCCACGTGGCACGCTTCTCGCTGAGTCCGAGCTCGAAACGCCCATAATCCGTAAAGAAACCTACGAAGTCCAGCTCCAGGCCGCCCCGGAATTTCTTCCAGGACATGGGTGCCCCACACATCAACCAAGCGACTAACATGGTCCAAAAATCCGTGTACTTATTGGGGCCACTCACCAGGAACTTCAAGTCGTCGGCGTACAAGAGCTGAAAACTGAAGGAGTCAAGCATCAGCCGGATCACCAACCTGAAGATGAGCGCAGCAAGTCTTCCAAAATGCAGCGCTGCGCAGGCAACGCCAAACGTGCCTACACGGTTCACCCACACAATGTCGCTGCTGTCGTCTGCTCGGCAACAAAGGAACCCATGGTCCTGAGGACGGTGCAATACTCTTCTATGAGCTTTAGCGATGTCAGCAGCCAGGCCGAGGACCACGCCACAGTCGCTGCTCTGACAGGCATCCATGACCCTCGCGAGGTCCGAAGGACCTGGGAATTCAAGTTGGTCACGAATGATGATTTCGTTATTCACTTTGATGTGATGGGTGCCGTCGAATATCACACGGACTGAGGATTCGTCTTTTGGTATCGCAGCCAAGCTGGCCACACGCAACTTCGATCCGAATCTCCTCTGGGCTTCAGCAAGTGAGAGGGGGTACATCCAACCTAACTCTTCTTCTTCACGGAATTGCGATGCGATAGTTGCCCCATTCTCCTTGGCCGAGCGGTAATTGGCCGCCACCGGTGTGTAGGCTGATTCGTCGTACTTTTTGGTCTTCACCTTCGGCCGGAAAACTAGAGGGGCAGGAGGGATCGGCTCCCCAACACCGACCATGCGACCATCCCTGTAGTTATCTCCCGGGACCCTGGTTAAGATGTCAGTGTCTTCGTCCCCCATCCTGTCCAAGGTCGCCTCTATGGCGGCAAGGAAGAATGGCTGATGGGGAGGGACCTCGCGCAGATTCGGTGAATCACCAAGGAGCTTGAACCATTCCTCGCAAAGATCCCCGAGGGCCTGAGGGGTGAAAGGGCACTCCTGGTAGCGCCCAGCTGCCAATCGGAACATCTCCCTCTTCGGATCCTGGAGATGCTTTTTCACGAACTTGGTTATGATGCCCCTCAACGACAAGATGAACTCCCGCCTGTCACCTCCAACGCCGCGAGCGCGATCTGAGGGATGCCATCTTCCAGGAGAGTTCAAACCTCCTCCATCTGTGAAAGATTTTGTCCTATTCTGCCATCTACATGTCATAGGCATACCCCTGTTGTCCACTGCGGCTTGCTTTAAAAGTCCATGGAAAGGGTACTCCGCAGACTCGGGACGCAGATGCGTCGTGCTGGGACAAGGAATGGGCGAGAGGGATGTGTTTCCGTCACCCTTTGAGCCAAGGACGGAGACCTCGACATCGTGATCGCTACCAGCGGTGCTCTCACCCTCGGAGGAGGAAAGGTCATGCACGATCTCTGTCGCCAACACCCCTTTCAACGAAGCGACAGTGGACGCGCGTGCTGAAATCACCACATGAGCTATGTGTGCACACAACGCAGGCGGGTAGGCAGCCGATGATGAAGTTTGCCACTTCGTTGCGGTCTTGCCTTTCAGGGCGAAGTCATGACACCCTGCTGGGCACGGCGGCGGCAACGGGCCTGCGTACTCAGATTGAGGCCCCAGCTGATGCCATCCCCAGTGCAGTCCCGGCCAACCAACATACATCTGCGCATTCGTCACAAACCTGGTTGGTTGGCATGTGGGAGCTCCGAACTGGCATTGATGCAGGCCGAATGTGCCCGCCTGAGACTCGCCTACCAGCACTTGCATCTCAGGCCAATCCCAAATGGAAGCTGGCACCAGCCCCTGCGACACCCCGAGCTGCTCGGGATGCCCAATGAGGAAGAAAAGCCCCTGTTTGACTTGCTCTGTGGCAGCCTGAATGACCCTGTCGACTAGGAAATTTTCGAGGCCCACCTGCTCGCGATGCGTCTCGGATAGCCACGGGAACCCTCGAGGCCACTCACTTGTTCGCAGCGGCTTGGGCCCCGGCGGTTCATGTCTCGCTCTGGAAAACGTTGAGCATGGCGGGACCATGATCACGAAGAGGTATCTGCCACGTTGAATGTCACAGAAAATGCGGCTCCAGACCTTCTCGTCGGAAAGATCATGAGCCTGCGGTTGCCGGAGGATGTCCACTTCGTGGAGAACGATCGGCACCTGCAAGTAACGCGAGTAAGAATTGAGGAAAAAGGAGAGGTCGGAGGTTCTTGCGGCCCCAGCAAAAAGGTACAAAACTTCGATGACGTCAGACCTGAGAGCTTCATCCAATGAAACTCGCTCGGCCTGTTCATCTGTGGCTCCCACCGCTGTTGGAAGATCACCGGCACCTGGTGGGCATGGCGCCGGCGAGCGCGATCACTGCTTGGGCTTCTTGGCTGAGGGCCTCTGAGAGCAGTCGTTACGGCCGTGGTCCGACCTTAGGCATACTTGGCAGCAGTGAACTCGACCGCAAGAACCGTCACAATTGCCATCCTGGAACTTGTAACAGATTTGCTTGCCGTCTGGCGTAACCGAGTGGAGGAAACCAAACTTCTTGTCTGGCCTGCCGGTAGGGGTCTTGCCCTTGCCGAGGCCTTTCTGCTTGCCTTTGCCCTTGTAGCCGCCCCAAGCCTGTGCTTGCTGAATGAGCTGTGTGAGATGATGATCCCACTGTTGGTTCCACTTGCGCTTTCCATGGTTGGGAAGCTCAGCCCCTGGCACACGAGAAGATGCGGGCGCATCGCGCCTGGCCAGAACCGTTGGAGAAAGGAAATGGATCTCTTTCACCTCGGAGTTCTTGCATGCTTCGGGGAGTGTGTCAGCGATGCTGCGATTTTCACGGACAGCGTTCTTGTAGGCTTCTTTCCTCACGGCCTGCTCGTATCGGAGCAGGACCCCCCATGGCGGGGCCAACGATTCTGTTCCTTCACTGTCCACCTTGGGCACTTGGAGACGATAACATTTCTCACCCAACAGGTACTCAGCATAGTTGGCGAAAACCTGGGGCTCCAACTTCGCAAACCAAGCCCTTGTTTGAAACTTGGCTCCTAGCATGGTCATGGCCGTAGCTTCCAAGCGCAGCTTGGTCCGCAACTCCTCGGAGTCCTTCGGGAGCTGCTCTTCTTGCGCTCTCTGGTGACCCGCAGTCGCCCCGAAGCATCCACGGAACTCTGGACACTGAGGGTCAGCGCTTCATCCTTGGAACCCACTTCATCCAACGCTGAGGCAAGGAGTTCGCCCTGCTCGATTTCTTCCACTTTGAGTGCTACATAGTCACTCGAAGGCTGTTCACGGTCCTCTAAGTGGCCGTAGCTTCTCTCGTAAGCGTGGAGCATGGCGTTCCGATCCGTGTAGCTGAGGACTCTGGGCACGCCGAGGACCTTGGCTTCAGAGCGCTGCTGGCGCTCCTTTTCTGCCATGTCGCAACACGCCTGCCACGCCGTGACCAGCGAAGCCATGGTAGCCCTCTGAGCTCCCCCTGCGTCCGGGTCGATGCGCAAGTCTGCCTTTAACGCAGAGCGGAGCTCGGCCTTGCTATCAGCCATCGCTGCGAACCTCCTGACGGAGGGATACTGCAAGCAAAGGTCATACTGAGCGGCCAGCGGTACTCCGGCCTCTTCTAAAGTGAACACCAAATCGGCATCCACTTTCTCGTGGAGGTGTTTCCTCTTCTGGTCATCAGACGCCATGCTGCACCCTAAACTACACTGCCCCAGCTGACACTGGGGGCTCTGCCAGATTTTGAGGAAGCGGCATGCAACACCTGGCATGTGGACGGTCCCTGAACAAGCAGTCGGCGGGACATGTGCGCTGCGCAGTTTCTGCAACGAGGAATCTGCTCGCTGACTGCGACTGCAACGCCCTTTTCTTCTGCCGCGTTTTCACACGCTGTTTGGGAGCTCGGTACCTAATCCAAGGAGCTATCGCTGGAACTTGTACTAGACGAACTTCCCGAAGAGCTCGAGAGCGGTTGCGAGTCGGCTTTGAAACATTTGAGGCACCGGGCATCTGCCACTTCGGCGCCCAAGGTCCACACATCCCTGGCGTCGTAGACCTGCGCGACGGTAACGGGACACCCGCCTTGACGATGAAGCCGTTTGAACCCCGTTCTTCTTGAGACGGTCACGAAGTAGGGTGCTGTATCCGAAGGTTCAGGCAAGACGACGTCCCTGTCCATGTCGCCGTCACCAAGCTCGGAACCGATCTGGATGGAGGTATCCTCGAGGAGCGGGAATTTCTGCTGGAGCGTGGGTTTGCCCGGCGGCCCATGCATTATCTGGTGCAATAGCTTTACTCGGCTGGGGTCCCCTCGGGCCTTTGAGAAATCCACGAGTGTCTCCACCAACTCGCTCTCGACGAAGATGTCAGTTCCCAGGTCGCCCCCGTTGGAGATCCCCTTCAAGACCTTCTCCTGCACCTCAAGCACCACTTGTCTCGACGTGATCATGTATGTGTCGGAAGAGCCTCGTCCTGTCTGCCATCTGCCCAGATAATTTCGCTGTTCTGGGGGCACCCGCATGGCTCCTGCCCAAGACACCAAGTTATGCCTAGCAGAGTGTCCTGACCAGAAACCCACTAAAGCTTCCGGCACCAAGCGGCTGTTTGGGATTGCCTCCCAACCTCCCTCGTCGCCACGCCGCACTGCAGGTAGCTCAGTCAACACTGCTTTCAGACAACTGTTGAAGTCGACATTGCTCAAGTAGCGGTTGGTGAAGCCGTTTCCCCCCTTCTGTGGCTTTCCCAGGAAAAGCTCTGAAGGCAGTGTAGCCGTGGACTCCAAGAAAAGGCTCAGCCCCTCGCTAAGCCAATCCACTCCGCTCCAGGAAGCCCTACGATGCACAAAAATTGGGAGCTCACCCATCTTTCGGCCTGGTCCAGAGGTTTTGGTTCTGCTCAAGACCGCCCGCAAGCCTAACTCACTCAGCGCCAGGCTGTCCCTTTTGATCCATTGGACATCATCGACTCGCAAGGCCGCCCACACCATGACAAGCAAGATGAAGGCAAAGACCCTGTTCACAACCGTGAGCCCCGGGTCCATCACCATCAGTTCTGCCCCGATGATCATAGCCACAGTGTAAGGCTGCGCGCTCTTACGAGGGGGAGCCCCGGAACTCAACTGGGTTTCCAGCCCTCTCACAAAAGAGATTAAAAGCGGGGAAAGCGACAGCCTATCTTCACTACGCAACCCTCCTATGACCTCCAAGGTGCTGAGAGCTGCAAGAAAGGTTCCCGGCACTGTCCGACCGCATGGTTCATGACTGCGCTCGGTCAAGAAATCAATGATCTCAACTGCGTCCTTTGGCCAGAGCTTGCCGAATGTCATCTCAAGCCACATTCTGAAGTGCCCCCACACTCGGGCAGTTTGGCGCAGCGTGCTGACACGCCGCCCGCCACACAAGCGCACCCAAGTTTCTGATGGATCCTGAACCCCATCCACTACTTGACTCGCTGGCAGATTGGCATCGATGACAAACTCTGCGACTCTTAAGCTCCACTTTCGGACCTCCAGTTGCTCCAGGTCATGGGGATTAGCACCTTCCATTCGCAAAGCACGATGGAAACGGGATTTGAAGACCTGACGAGCAAGCACGATATCCTTTGCAATCATCTCGTGGTACACTTGATGGCTGCCCTGTTTATTTTGTGGACCCCGTAGTCGTGGCTGTAGGAGATGCTGCACAAACGCTTGACGTGATCTCTTCACCGAAGGCTCTTTCTCCAGCACAGCTGCGTGAAGCAACCTGCCTTGCTCTTTGATTCCAGCGGCATCCAGTTCAATCCCAGTTTCTCTGACAATCGCTTCAGCATCTTTGACGGAACAGATGGCATTGCTCAGATGGTGCAGGCTTTTGTACTCTTTCTGGATTGCCTTACTGATATCTCCTCGGACTCCCAGGCTATCCATAGCTCAAGTCGGCATCCCTCGGGGATGCATGCGCAGGCGATTTTACCTGCAAGAATTCCTGGGAGCCGAAATCTGGCGCATCCCGAGCTTCACAACAAACCTACTGGACAAGTCCATCCAGCATAACGCGCTCACCTTTTCAAGCTGGGGGTTGCCAAGTGAGTCCAAACCTTGCATGCATGCAGCACGCACAGACGTTTACTGGATCCTTCCATGGCACCAACGCATGCAGCCATCTCAACCTCCAACCCCGGTGCATAAGAACAGTCGGAAGTCTTTGATGACCAAGCGCGGCGAGCACACATGTGGATTGCTGGCCAAAGTGGTCCCTCCAAGTGTTGAGTACCTTTGTCCCGCGAGAGGGAATTCAAGCTCTTGTGGGAAGCTTTTGCATACGCGGCAAATGCGTACCGTTTACATATGTAGCACAGCTGTTGCACACCACTTGCACATGCAAAAGCTAGGCATCGAGTGCAGAAGCGGCGTCTCTGTGTGAGTTGTTTGTCTACTTGGCCTTGGCATCCCAGCGCCACATGCTCGTTTAGCCACAAAGCCGCTCAGTTGAGCCCCAGCCTGCCCTTGCGACCCATGGTTTCGCAAGCATGTGTTCATGCATGGTACTGCCGGGACACAGGGCACAAGGACGTTTCACGTCGCATGTAAATCACCACGTAGCCTGGACCAATGCAAGTTCGGGAAGCTTGGTTCTGGCTCTGGTGCGTGCAGCACCGGCACGCCATGCCATGGACGCAACACGACGTGGCATGCGATGCGATTCGGTCATCGTCTGCCAGATGGGACATGGTGCCAAACCGTGCACCACCTAGCTCATCCTAATGGTCGGCACAGCCTGAAAAAACGGGGACACAGGAATGGTGGCGATGTGGGCTCCTTCCTTAGGTCCGGCGTGCTGATCTCGTCCCATGAAATCCTGGCTATGCACACAACAGCTCATCTGAGGCCAATGTGCACTAGGCCTATAGCTCAAGGGAGGGTGCCTTGTTCGAAGAATGGGTGTGACGCTTGAGGGCACACAACACATGCACCTCCGTGTGTGGCGCACGGCGGCACTCCCATGCACACATCAGCAGCTGTCGTCTGGTGAAGTGACACGGGCGGTGAGACATGAAGTTCTGATTCTTGTGAACCTGCTCGAAGACTTCATGCTCGAAGACTTCATGTCAGGGGATGCACAAGGCGCTATGCTTCCACAGACACTGGAAACGCCTAAACAAAGACTTGCATGCAGTCTGCTGGCGCAAAGAAGGGCATCCAGAGAAGACTGCTGCTTTCTTATGATACAACGACCTCAACACACAAGTGCACAGGCGCGGCTTAGTGGCGTAGCTTGGCGGCAAAGCAACATCGCATATGGGAAGGCAGCCCGGGTGTCCAAGCAACCCGAAATTTGTGGATGTGGAGCCCTCTGCTTCAGGAGAACTGCCTTTATGACAGGAAGTGCGACGGGAAGCTCAGGAATCTGGCAGAGCGTCCCCCCCTATGCCTTATGACTTCCCTGCATGGCAAGGAATGACAGTGCTTCCTCGGAAAGTCGCCACTTAAGCCCGCCGCAACAGCCTAGCACCGACTATGGCGCTCGCGGAGCTTTCAGGACCAACGCTCGTGATGTTGCAAGGGCGAAAAGGAAAACGAGCCATGGACGGAAAGCTCCCCGGCGCTTCGGTGATGGACCCAAGCCAAGCGCCAGCATCTCTGCTCGGCTCCACGCCGAACTCTCGACAGCACAAGGGGCACGCATGAGAGGAAACCTGGGCAAACACTGCCAACGACTACTTGCCACAGCTTCGCAACTGTACTAGACGCTTACCAGTGCACTCTCCGCCTTGTATGTTCGTTGCCAAGGATGCAGGTGCATGAGGCAACGCCCCCCGGGCCACGGGTGGCTGCAACTTCATAGCCAGAAAGCAATGCATGCCGAGCATTGCCGAGCCCTCAGCCCGCACCACAACATGGGCGAAGGCCCTCAAATATCTGCGCGTGCAAAGGCGATGCATGGAGTGGAATACTGGCGCTGCAAGAGCCAGGGAGATACCTCTCCCAGTGCGAAGCCACGAGCGGAAGTTAAAGGCACGCTGCCGGTACTGCCGGGGCACGGCCGGCTCTAGCCCAGGCCCAGTGGCAAGGCCCGCACGTGCATGGCGCGCGAGCTCTTGCGGTGCAGGAGACAAGGTGCCCCGCGACATACGCGGGGTACGCGGCGCCTTCATCCCTGCTGCATCAGGGCAGCTGCGTCATCTGCCTCGTAGTGCCGGTACGCGCCTGCCACACTGCCACGTGTGCAAGGTGGCTGGGCGGGCACATTTCACAGTCCGGGCTCCACGAGCTTCGCGGGAAGAGCATTGCTGCAATGGCGGGAGAGCAGTACGCAACTCGAAGCAGATGCTATGCGATTTAATGTTCACCTGGACAAACACAAAGCTGGCACTGCCCCGAATCCTTCAGGTATGCTGGCCATCAAAAACATGCAAGTGACATGACATCCCACATGAACTCTTTACAAGACGGACTTTGCACATGTTCACCTCCCATGAGATAAACTTCCTCTCAGTCTTGGCGTGCGGCACACACCACGATTTCGGTTTAAAGGCGATTGCTCCCTGCGCGAGGACCCCCTGTGATTATTGGCAACCGGCCGGCCCGACTTGAAATACCAAACCCAACTCTAAACCCCGTTAAGGTGGACCCTAAGCCCTGAAGTTTGCAAGCCCTCTTATGGGCTGGGTGCCAAAGCTTATTTGGAGGGGCGAGCCGACCACCTTGCAAGGGAGGAGGCAGGAAAGAGGGCCGGGGTTCTGTTCACGAAGCTGTTGCCTTGACCTGCGCATGCGCCTCATCCCGGCGGACCCTGGCGGACTCGAGACCCGAGAACTAACTTTGCTTGTTCAGAAACAACCCAGTGCCGGAGCTGCACGCGTAAGGAGCAGGTCGAGAAACTATACGCCACCGAGCCGTGGTAGAGCACACGTCCAGGATTGGCACACCTGTGCCTGGTCATGGCTGCACCGCCCCGAGATGCGCCGAGTATCGCCAAGGCTGTGCTGATGGCAGGCTTTGCCACCTTTGCCGGCTTGCGAACCTGGCGATTCATTCTTCCAGGCCTCGTGGCTGTCCAGTGGCATGGGCCAAGACAAATCGAGATGTCCATCTGAGGTCCCAAAGACCCCAAGACGGACTCGGCATCGGCATTCAAGTGCAGGCACAAACTCGGAGGAGAATGCTGTACAGCATGGCTGCCATGGCTGACCTGCTGCCTTCGGCTCGCAAGGCCCTGTAAGGCTGAGAGACTCTTTGGGCCATACACCGTGCTCTGGCGAACCAGGAGAGCTGGAAAGCTGGGGCCTCCTTGCAGGGGGCCTCTAAAGGGGCCTTAAAGAGGCCGCAGAAAGATTCCACTGAACTCGCAGGCTGGGCCGGCACCCCGGCCCGCAACGCACGGAACTAGGACTCCGATCAATGGCAGCATGAGGTGCCGAACCTTCCATCGGCTGTCGGCGTTTGGCCATTGCCGGTGAGAGACACAAAGCCCCGAATTTCCATGGGGCCAGACTCTTCCATTGCAAAGCATGCTGCATGCGGCACACGCATACACGCCGCCAAAGCCCTCAAAGCCAGGCACCGCTCTCGCCTTCACACACACCGGAGTCGCAAGGCTGAATGCCCCCCTCGACATCACAATCTACAGGCAGTAGCAGCATGAGCGAAGCCCTGCGGTCTACCCCCCTGCAAGCGCGTTTACGAGCACCAGCGGCGCAAACACTCAACAGCACCAAACAGGCGCACCAGTCACATGCAAGCTTGCTGAGCCAAGCTGACTGCTCTCCAGGCTGTCAAAACCTATTCTCTGAAACTTCTGCATCACAGAGGCCTATGGTTAGCCCAAGGAGTTCATGCGTGTGCGATTCGTAGTGGAACGAGCAGGACAAGCGGGACAAGCGGGACAAGCGACTGGCAACAGACGTCCCACAGCCGAGAAAGCACGATGAAGATTTCAATGAAGACCATGAGCACCACTTGCAATGCATTGCGGATCGAAGCTCGCGCGCGTTAGCTCCCGTTGCAGGATGCCTACACAATCATACACAGATCGGCAAGGCGAGGTGTGGCTGAGGTGTTGGCACACCATGCATGACAGCCTTGCAGAATTGAGCAGAGTTGAGTATCGAGAGTATCGGTTGGGATCAAGGGAGAAGTCCAAGTCGGCCTTGCGAGCCGCACCCAGCAACATTTCCCCTTTCGCAAGAAGCACCCAGCAACATTTCCCCTTTTGTGAATACAATTCGGGAAGCAACAGCCTGCGGGGCAACTGGTGCGCCTTCTGCGAACTCAGAGAAACTCAGCAGGACCATGCTGCGCCGCTGCGCCCATGGATCTGCGTGGGATATCCGCAGCCAGCATGTTTCTGAGTATCCAAATTCAAGGTCGCAGTGGAGACCGGACGTGTGCATCCTGCATTCCTTAGCCTTAGATGACACGCCCCTGCTGCTATACCATGACAGGCCTTCTGCTAACTTCATCTGAGCGTGCTCCTGCTGGCCCCCTTCACAACAATCTCCCTGCGCTCGCGGATGTTCGCGGCACTCCCTTTTGCCCCACATTAGGTGGGGGGAGTTCCTTTCAAAGAGGCCCGGTCCAACGGCCGCTTCCTATTCTGAGGAGCAGTGCCGGACAACACTTCTGCTGCCACAGAGTCGCCAGAGCCTTGTCCGTCGTTGACTGAGGCCCCTCGCTCCGTTTTGGTTCGGGAGCTTGTGCTCCTACTGGCGCCGGTCTCAGAAGGGCCCTCGCATCCTGGGAGCCTGCACCACGAGCACTCAGCAGTTCCGCTGGTGGAGCTGCCTGTGTCGGGGCCAGACCGTTAGCCTCCTTAACTTTGTGTCGCACAGGCCATGCCACCGTGACTCTGCATCGTCGCATGTCCTTCAAGGCCGTGGCCTGGCAAAATCTCTGAAAACTCTCAAAGCCTCGCCTCATCTTCGCTGGTGGCACATTGAGCATGTCAACATTGGCTGCCAAAACACGCCTATTCGCCTGCGAATCGAAGGTTGTCAAGGAAGTATCTGAGAGCCGATTTGCAAGAGGCGAGGACCAAAGTGCTTTTTCTATCGTCTTCCCCATCGGCTTGCTCATGAAAAGATGTTACGGACACAATCGTTACACGCAGGAAGTTGTCGGGGCGACATCTTCTGATGGGCGGACGGCCGTGACTACGGAACCGGACTTGATGACTACGCACCGGACAGGACCAAGCGGGATCGGACAGATGGACCGAGGGACGGAAGGATAGATACGATAGGTTCTCATAGATGGTGATAGATGGTGGGAGGTTTATCGGTATCACGGCGTGGCTCCTTGTTGTCAGCCTCACCCATGCCATCAACGCCTCCGGCCCTAGCGAGGCTTTGTCCGCGTAACGGGCCAAAGGGTGTTCAATGGGGATCTCTGGTGTTCAAACCCGGCCATGACAGTCCCGCCTGTCAACAGTCTGGTGCTGTCGTTGCGTCAACGGGCCCTGCCTATAGCGTTATTCGATTATGTACAGCGCGGGCATGCTTCATCAATGTTGATACTGCGTCTTTGCCTCTGTAAAGGGCACGTTGTATCGGTAGTTGATGTCGTGTCTTTGAGGAGCGCATCATGGAACACACCCCGGTGTCGATTGCATGCCCTTCGTGCTTGTGTGCTTGGGACACGATAGAAGCTCCACCCCAAATCTGACTACCCTTTACAACCCGCCTGCCTGTTGTGAAGCCCTTGGACGCCGAAGCCAAGCCCTGTGAGCCTAAGGTCTTCGCCCGTCGCTCACTAGAACGAAACGGCTGTAGCAATAGCCACTATGGCTTTGGGAGTCCCTTTTGTGGGCCCATCCTCACCAAGTTCCGGCTAGTCTTCAAGTGTCGTGGCAAATCTTGCGGCACTTCCTAAGGCATAGAAATCACCAGCACTTCCGTCGAACATGGCATGTTTCCCGAGAACGTTCACCAAAAGAAAATTGCAGCTCAAAAGCATTTGAGATCGATCTACCCAAGAAGGCAGCATGGCAGGTATCCGGTAGGAGGCAAAATGAAACGGTCGAGAGCTACATCGCTTCTGACTTGCAGGGGCTGACACGTCGCTCGTCGTAGGAGGACGGAGTCAGGTCGCTCTGTCCATCAGGTCTGTGGCCTGACGAGATCAATGGCGCAAAGGACGGAAGAGTGCTTCACTTGCTCAGTGCTCATGTCTGAACATGATCAGGGGCCCACGAGCGATACGGGACAGAGCGCAGCATTCGGAGAGATTCGGGGTGGTGGGCTTAGGGCATGGGGCATCACTTGTTTCTCATTGCATGCATGTGTGAAACCCGCGAATTGGGCTGAGGTTCCGACGATGATGGTACCGAGCTCTGCTTGGGCGGCTGTGCTCCCGTTCACAAGAGCCCCACTGCTCCCAACAATGCCTAGTCGTCCATTGAGAATCCACAGAAACCCGATTGGCCCCATTTTGAAGCTTAACGGACCTGACTGCAAAGTGAGGAGGGGATTTTTGCCAATGCTCTCTGACTGACCTTCACCTGCATGGGAGGAGAAAGATCTGCAAACTTTGGCATTCCAACATCTGAAGTTGCAGTTATGACTACCCTTCTCATGGGAAGCCAGACTGCAATGTCGCACCGGGTGAAGCCACGTAGTTAAAAGAGGCGGCCGGTTTCAGCGTGGGCTCGTTGAGGGGGGCTCCACAGATCAGACAGCAGCGCCAAACAAGAGATCCATTGCCCTCGCCTTCGTGGGCAGTGTGCAGCCTAGGCATTGATCAACGGACTCTCGCTGTTTCCACCTTGCCCGACTTCTGGCACGAGCCTCAGGCACATCGACGACAGGCTGGAGACGATGGCCCTTCTCCGCTTTGGCCTCTCCCTGCTTCTGGACAAGTGTTGCTCTAGCGGAAAAAAGAGCTTCACCATGCGTAGAGAAGGCTGGTGTGCAATGAGCGAGAGAAAAGGTTCAGGGCAAATCACGTGGACTGCATAACAGGGACAACAGCGACGCAGCGACGCTCGCCAGGAGAAAGCATGGCGTTTTGACTCAGGTTACACTTCAAAGCCTCTTTTTTACCTTTTTTACATCTCGTACGTTGAACTCTGTGAACCAACATCGCCACATTTAGTGGAAGCGTATGGGCTGCAACATGCTCAAATCAGCCAGATGACGCGAGTACGCTTTTCAAAATGGCTGGCTGTAGCCTCAGACCTGCACAGGCAAGGGTGGGCAAGGGGGCATGGCCAGGTCTTCGGAGTCTTCACCGCTGGCCTGCTGTCTAGCAATCCGTGTTGCCCGTGGGGACAAGCACGGAAAAAAAACGACCCCCCATTGCAAGACAAAAGTGCTGCGCGGACGTTGGGCAAAGCCTGCGCGCGAAGTTTTCGGGAATGACGGCTGCGCAGCCACACAAGACCCCTCAGAGTTCTTGCCTCATGCTTCTGACAGCATTGCCTCATGCCACCTCCCCACCTCGGCAAAAGAGAGCTGCTCATTGCAGCTTTGTCTACCCTTCTCCTCAGAAGCGGGACAGCAACGTCGTACCGGGGAAGGCCGCGTAGTCAAAAGCGGTGCGCGGTGCTGGTTTCACTGTGGGCTTGTTGGGGGGACCTGCGTCGGCACAACCTTTGATTCGGCACCATGGGCCCGCATCCGCGGGCATTCTTTGGGCCTGCACCGGCCCTCTCAAGATGTTTACGATGCCAGCAATGATTCCAGCAAGGTTCTGCGCACTTTTCCAAAGGCCGCCTCAGCAATGTCAAGATACCTGGTTTACATTGAGTTCTCGGAATGCAAACTCCAGAACGATGATGAGAAGACAAGAGGCTCCATTGACAGAGGTCCAAGGAAAAGAGCTCCAGATTGAGCCCTGCGTGTTTTTTTGCACTCGTGTTCCTCTGTAGAACTTGGACATGCTAGGCTGCTAGACCCGTCTCAGACAAGCCTCCACGCCTGCACAAGGTACGTACAGGTGGTTGATAATTCTGATATGTGCGCCGGCCACGTGCACTTACCTACTGCCATGCCTTTGCGGCGTAGGTCCCAGCACGACCGTCTCTGAACGGACACCATGACAAACAGGGAACAACTCGGGACGAGTGTGCACGAAGGGCTTCCTCTGCGACTCAGAACGGCTGTTCGTGGGATTTTGTTGGGCTGGAATTCTTGGAGAAACAAACTATTCAGCCTTCCTGGATTTAGGGGACTACATCTCCAATAGTCTGGCCACTAAGGACAATCCGGTGCTCCTTGTCTTGTATGCGGGGGCAGATGATGAACGCTCTCTGGCCTCAGCGCTCCGGCACGTTAGGGGCCTCACAGGCGGGCCCAACTTCCGTATAGTACACGGTCAATTATCCCCCTTGGATTAAGGGTAGGGGGGGTTGGAAGATGACGAAGGCATTTCTCGACCCCCCCCGATCGAGATTCAGCACAGACCCCGCACATACACCAGAGACAGTGACAAACCATAATTGCCGAAATTTAATTGCCGAAAGGGGGATACCCCCCTACTCTTTCGGCACTTATAGCCGAGGGCGATGGTCAATTCTCAGATATCTGCCAAATAGAGGCTTCCGGGACCTGTCCGAAGCAGAAAAGGGGCCCTGGCCTGGGGCCTGGAGAACCCTTCCCCTGCGGACCAACATCGACAGGCAGATTGGCTGCTCGAGTTCTCTGCCCTGCAACAAAACAGGCAGGCAAACAGAGGAAGAATGGCAGTGCTGGTCTATGGTGGCGACAGGGCCAAGCACGCACAAGTCATCAAGGTCTCTGCAATCACTGTTGCAAAAGTCTGCTTCACATCCCGTCATGCCATGCAGCAGCAGGCTGACGGCCACACCTGCACCAGGCACCAAGAACGGAACATGGGTGTGCGGAAGAATGGCAGTATTGGTCGATGATGGTGGCGACAGGGCCAAGCACGCACAAGCTGAACGTCTCTGCAATCGTTCTTGCAAGAGTCTGTTTCACTTCCCGTCATGCCATGCATCAGGCAACAAGATAGGAACAGAGGCTTGTGCAGGCGGTTGATAGGTTGATATGAGAGTTGCACGCAGGTACCGTCATGCTTTTGCAGCACAGGTGCCGCCACGGCCGTCTGAGAACGGACATCCTGACAAACGCATCCACAGGCAGATTGGCTACTTGAGTGCTCGTGCCTCAGAGACCGGACAACCTGCCCAAGCAAGATGCGGAAGAATGGCAGTGCTGGTCGATGGTGGCGACAGGGCCAAGCACGCACAAGCCGTGAATGTCTCTGCAACCACTCATGCAAGAGTCTGCTTCAAATCCCTTCATGCCATGCAGCACTAAAACTGACGGCCACGCCTGCATCAGGCACCAAAAACAGGACATGGTTTCGTACAGGCGGTAGATACTGTTGTTACGACAGTTGTCGATGTACACGCTTGAACCTTTGAACGACCTGGGCCTGAGGGTGTGTTGAGCATCACCCTAAAACCCTAAGCCCTAAACCTTCTGCTCTTCGTAGGTGTCGTTGGAAGGTGATGTGACACAGGTCTAGGTGCCGGAACATTCTGAATCCCTACAAAACCGACTCTAAACCCTAAAGATTCTGTGCATCAAGTATTGCCCTGCTTTCGCGGCGCATGTCCCAAACAAGCGCATCCACAGCTATGCACTTGATGTTGCTATCTTTGCTTTAGCAGCCTTCATCTCACACCCTCCACAAAAAGATGGTGTTCAACCGGTTGACCTAGCATCGATGCTGAATGTTGTGGTGGCTGGCACTAACGCAATGAGCCTTTATGTTGATGAGCACCGACACCGCGAGCACCCATGTGCAGCATGTGCACCGCTGCTCATAAGGCTGCTTGGCTACCTTCGTAAGAAGATGTAAAAAGGACCGATCACAAACAGAAGTAACCACATCCTAGAGTTATATGGAACCTACGCCATGCTTGCACGACAACACCTCCTCGGGCAGCTGCCCAATTCGAGGCGCGAAACAGGTACGAACGGCACCGAGATTGCTTAGGAACCTCGAGGCTTGGGCCTTCGCAGCTGCTTGTGGCAGCCGCTGAGCCCCGAAATCCATGCCACAACTCCAAGCATCAAGCCGATTCTAGCAAGCAGCGCTCCACCGAGCAA